TTGCCGAGCGGGTCCTTCTTGATGGCCGCAATGAGCGCGGCGTCCACCTGCTTCTGCAGCTGCGCCCGGGCGTCGCTGACGGTCCCCTTCGGGGCCGCCTTTGCCGTCTTCTTCGCCTTTCGCTCCGCGGCCTTCTTTGCCTTGTCGCCCATGAACTCCCCCTCCGACTTGACGCGCTTCTCCTGCTTCGGGCGCGCGAAGATGTCGGCGGTGATGCCGCTCACGTCCACGTCCTTCACGTCAACCTTCGTCGAGGTCGCAATGAGGTAGCGGGAGTCGATGCGGCGGATCGGCACGCCGTTGTACTTCATCGGCCCGGAAACAACCAGCGGGCCGTTACCGGGGAGCTGCTTCAGGATCACCGCACGGCGGCCACGGAAGCGGCCGGCGAGGATGATCGCGATGGTGCCGGGCCTGCAGCGCTTCCGCAGCGTCGTGTACTCGGGGCTCTTGCGGCTCACCTTCTTGGCGACCTTCTTGGTGGGCCTCCTGCTGACAGCCGGCATCGTTCACGATTCCTCACGAGCTTAAGATCTTGTCGTACGTGCGTCGAGAACATATATTTCAACAACAAGACAAAGAAAGCGAAACAACAAAAAGCAGGACAACACACATATAAATGGAAAGCAGGCACATTACACATAATAAATGACCACCACAACAGTCATGGCACCAGCGCAGAAGAAAAACATTACATGAGAGCAAAAAAGATCAAGAAAGAGACGCAGATGGAGATGGAAAGGGAAGTGCAATGATTACGTTGCAAAAAATGAGGACTTAATTATGTGAAACTAAGAGAAACTGGGCTTTTATAACGCCACGAACCTTCCAGTTATGTCATTATGCCTCATGGCAGCAAGAGCCTGACAGTTCGCGCCTCACTCGATTCTTACCTACTACCCCCTCGTCACTAACAAAGATAAGTGCAAGACACAAGTGCAAATTTTCGCCACCCAAAAGAAGATGGCGCAACTTCTCAATAAACACTGAAGCCGGGCAGCAATCCACTCAAATACAAAACGCCCAATAAATATGTGCCATGTTTCCTACCACTGGTTCCACTCGATTCACATTATTGCTCTCATTTCTTTCCGGCTCTCATTTCTCCTCT